GAAACACACACTGGGACCAAAACACTCCTGGAAGTCCTTCAGCCTGTTTGTCAGTACCACAGAAGCCCAGAATTGGGTTGGAAGGGACCTTAAAAGATCTTCCAGTCCCACCCCCTGCCAAGGGCAGGGACACCTTCCACTGTCCCAGGCTGCTCCAAGCCCCGTCCAGCCTGGCCTTGGACACTTCCAGGGATCCAGGGGCAGCCACAGCTTCTCTGGACAACCTGTGCCAGGGCCTCCCCACCCTCCCAGGGAAGGATTCCTTCCCAATAACCCATCTAAATCTACCCTTCTTCAGCTTGAAGCTATTCCTCCTTGTCCTACCATGATGCCCAATGCATTTCTGCACCAGCAAATTTTGCAAGCATGATGAGGATCATTAAATACCTCACCACAAGCAACCAGTGTAATTCCCAGAATATTGACTGGATGATGAAGTAGCATTATTACAGGAGACCTTAAACACAGGAAAATTAAAACACTGGATGGCTGTGAGAGACTCCTGTCATTAAAGGGCTTAGCAAGAACATCTATAGCACTTCTAAAATATGCTTACATGCCATAAATCACTGCTCCACAATGATACATGCACATTATATTCATAACAGCATAATTACAAGGTAATTACCATACAGCAGTAATTAAGGGGAAACCCTGTGTGCCATCCAAGGCAGCTACTTTGAAAGGGACTAAATATACAAGGAAAATAAAATTAAGCAACAGAAGGTGAGTTGTTTCCTGATTATAATTACATTACTGGCTGTATTTTCAAGTAGGTCACTTCTAAAACAGACCAGTTCAGGGGAAGCTGAACTTGGGCAGGATTTTGACAGCCACATGAATCCTGGGGCCCAGGTGGTCATGGACTTACCAATCTCATTTGTTAAAAGCTTTAATGGCAAGTAGGTTTTGCCCCTTGGCAGACTTTTGGGCAGCTGCCTAATTTCTATAATGGCCTAACACAGACCTCAGCCAAAAGCAGGACTCATTCCACATGGCTGAAGAAAACATCCAGCCCAGCAGAGTTGAACAGTACATGTAATTTTTTTTCAGCTGAAACAAAAGCTAATAGAGGTGAGAGGTGGCTACCTTTCTACACCTGACAAATAAAATGTATTGAGGAGTAACCCATCAGCAGTGAGAGGAGAGGAGGTGTAGGAAAGTGTGTGTGCAGGGCTCAGGGTGGGTTTACATACAGCTCGAGCTGTGAGGATCTGCTCACTGGGGACACAGAGCCTGCCTGGGGAGCACAGCTGAGCTCTCCAGCACTGGCATCAGAGGCACTGAAGAATTTAAGGACTCCACTTGGGACAACTCTCTTAAATGCCTTGGACTCCACCGAGCCTGGAGGTGGGAGAATGCAGTAATGAACCTGATTTCTCAGGTCATTCCTGTTACAGAAGCATTTTAACCTCTTTGGAGAAGCTGCAGCAACTGGTGAACTCCAAAGCTGAGCCTACAGCTCTATGGCTGGAGAGGGCTGACTGCTATTTTTATACGTGTTTTCCTGGGAAAAGCCATCATTTCACAAACAAGTTCAGCTAGAGCAATCATTGTATATTCATTCCATGCTCCCTCAGAGGACACAGCTTCCAGGGTCCTTCCAAAGAACAGCTCCAGCAAAGCACAGATGGATGGCTCTGGATTTACCCTTCCCCAGGCTGTCCAAGGCAGTGAGTTATCAAACACTACTTGTTCTCTTCACTGTTATCACCTGATGGGTCACAGATGGCACAAAACATTATGGCATCCTGAATTTTGTGTGCCTTCATGCTGTTGTTTGTTCAAAAAAATTAATCTCAAAGGCTGCCAACCCCTGTCTTGCTCAGAATCACCTTTTCACCTTCTCACCATCTGCTGTCAGACCTCGAGGGTGAGTCCCAGTCTCAGCTGCAACTCACTGGGTTGCATCAAATTCGAAATCCTTCAGCACAAAGTGTACCTCATTGCCACTGACACCTCCAGGAGAGGCAGCTCTTCACTGTCCTACCCACCACTTCCAGGAACACTGCAAAGAGAACATGTTGCAGAGGTCTGTGTCCCTGGCCTGAGTCCACCTGCCATAAAGCCCAATCCATTAAAGTCTTTAAATTACAGTGGAAAACATCCATTATCACCTGCATGTTCCACCCAGCCTGCCCTTGTTTGCTTTCCAGGAATACAAAGCCACAAGAAACATCCCAAACATCCAGTCCAGACTCACCTGATGCACTGGCTCCTGAAAAGCTCATCAGGCAAGCTCAATCATTCCCCATTTCTCATTTAGTACCTCTTTGCTAGCACAGAAGACCCATCTCATTTATTTTGGGCCTCTGCAACTTGAAGAGCCACTTCAAATTCCCCTCTAGCCTCCAATACTTTTTTCATGCCAGTTAGACCAAAAAGAGACATTTGTTGCATGCTAAATCAACTCAAAAAGGGGTGAAAGAGGAGATCTCAGCCCAGATTTCAGCACTGAACATGTCTTACATGGCCTTTTCTGTACAAAAAGCCCAGATAAACCCAAAAACCTGATTATGTAGATTATTCTCTCACGTCACACTCTGATACTCTTATGCATTTTAAGGCTTCCAACATGCCTTTCAGAGAGCAAGGCTTGCATGAGTCCCTTGAGGGAGAGCTAGGAAGGAGAGGGGGAAAAAACATGGATTTATCCTATCATTCAGCAACCACCACAACCCCAGCAGGAAGCTGGGGGATCCTGGCATTCTGCCACAAGACAGAGCCCAAAGAAAGCTGCTCTGCTTTTAAGCCAGCCACGTGGAAATTAAGCCTGAAACTGCAGTATGGTGAAAGCTGCTCTCTCAGCCCTGTTGCTCTGCTCTTGGAGCAGACCTGCTACACCGGGCTCCGAGGGGCCGGGGCAGGGCAGTGTGGGGGGGCTCCTTGTGCCTGCTGAGAAATCACCCTGAACAGCAAGTCTGCCTGAAAATAGAGCTGATCACCCAAAAGGGAAACATGAAGCTGCAGCCAGACTAAGCAGCAGCATCACCTCCCCTGGATCCTGCAGGTGACACCTGAAGGACGGGGCCATCCCTGGGAATCTCAGGAGGTTTAACGAGGCCAAGTGCTGGTGCTGAACTTGTGTCAGGACAACCCCTGGGATTAATCCAGGCTGGGGATGAACAGATGGAGAGCAGCCCTGAGGAGAAGGACCTGAGGGTGCTGGTAGGTGAGAGGACAAGGACAGCTTGACAGAGGGCACGATTAGATGGGATATTGGGAAGGAATTCTCCCCTGTGAGGATGGGGAGCCCTGGCACAGGTTGCCCAGAGAAGCTGTGGCTGCCCCTGGATCCCTGGAAGTGTCCAAGGCCAGGCTGGATGAGGCTTGGAGCAACCTGGGCTAGTGGAAGGTGTCCCTGCCCATGGCAGGGGGTTGGAATGGGATGGGTTTTAAGGTCCCTCCCAACCCAAACTATTTGTGATTACATGTGTGCTCCTCACTGTTCTCCAGCTGGCAGCTTCCCTGGTCTGTATTCAAGCTCCCAGGACCAGCTCTTAGAGCCTTCTCAGGTCTTACCAGCTGGTCATTAGTACCCTTGGGACAGCTGAAAAGCCAGGTCCCTTCTCCCAGAGTGATGTGACACTCAGCAGCTTCACCAACACAGCAAAGGCCCAGTACCCTTGGACTTCTAAACACTAGCCTTGTTTTTCTCCAGACCGCAGTAAAAATATGGGAAACTGGTTTAGCCCTTTCTTACTAAGGACTTAGCAGTACTTGGCTGGCAAAATGAAATTCAGAGGCACATTAAATTCTGAAAATCCTTGAAAGAAAATTTTGTCCTTTCTAACAAGTCACTGGTCTGTTACCATTGCCAAAGGAAAGAAAGGGTGAGCCAAGTGCTGCTGTTACCCAGGACTACCCAAACAGCCGTGGGTTTGTAACCAAGGGGAGATCCAGCTGCACTGGAGGGGCTGCACTGCAGCACAGCAAAACCCAGCCCTGTTTGAACAACCACTCAGCCCCATTAGCACCTCAAATCTCAGGTAAAAGCCATGTCTATGTGGTTAGGTGCTGGCTGGGGCACTGGACCCCACATTGGGAACCTGCTTCAAGCACTGTGGAAAAGCTGAGCCAGGCACTTCTGTGCTCCACCTTCTTGTGGTTCAAGGGGGCGGGGGGGAAGAAATAACTCCCTTCCTGGAAGGTGAGAGCCATTAGAAACTGCAGGGACTGACTGCACCCACAGCAGTGTGACAGAGTGGGACTGCAGAGTAGCTACTGCACTACCCTAATAGACATGAACAAGGTTTCCCCCCATTTTCTATACTTTTGTTCATACTTTGAACTCCCTCCAATCCTTCAAAGTTGCAGTTGAGTCACTTGTAGCAGTGAAAAAGTGACCTGAGCCTGAACACTTTTGCACAGTGCCTTTAAGACTGATTTGTTTACCTGAAGCTGCCTAAACTATGCAGAGTTCAACTTGAATTTGTTAGACTTGGCTAAAAGCCACCCTGTTCGCTATTGAAAGCGGGAGTGCTATAGAAAGTAAATGCCATCCTATTGTCTCCAGGGCTCTGCTAATCTCTTACCGAAAAAAAACCCCAAAGTTAAATAAGGAAAGAAATTGTATTTGCCAGTTACCTTCATACAGTGACACACTGTAACACCCGGGCTGCACTAAGGATTAAAACACTATTGCCAGGGACAATTTAGAGCACCGTTGCACAGTCAAAATAGGAGCACGGTGAAATAGGAGGATCGTGCCTAGAGGATTCTCACGCACCTGTTTATTACTCTTTGTTTCCTGCGAAGGGAAGAGATCTCAGCGTGTCCTCCGGGTTTCACAGCCCCTCGTTTATGAAAGGCTCATGCTTTAAGCAGCATTTGGCACTGATTTCACTCGCTTCCTCCTCGCCCCCCTTGCCTTTTCCCTTTGATTGTTACTGCAGACTGAAAGGAGCGCAATCCCTGCCTTTTCCCGGAGTGTGTTCGCTGTTCAGACTGCCCGGCCCTCCCCCCTACTCAGCCCTTGCTCCGCGGAGCATCCCCCGCACCGCGATCCAAGCGCCGGGCTCTTTGCTGCTGCTTTCTCATCTTCCCACGCCGCGGGCTGCTATTGCATCTCCCCGGCCGGCTCCTCCTCTCCTCTTCTCACTCCCGTCCCTCTTTAAATTCACTTCAAGGCCAGCTTCCCTTCCTCGCTGCTGGGCTCACACAGCTGGGAGTGCAGTAAAGCAGGGGGAGGGAGCGGAGCAGGGAGCTTTTATTCAGCGATGCTTCCTTAACCAAGCAGCTGCTTTGAAGCCCCAAGGTCCAATTTCAGCTGCTGAAGTTGTCAGTGATAAAAAACAGCTAAATATAACACTGCTTTCACGTGGCAGGTTTGAGATAGGGGACTCCACGGTTAAAGCTCTTCAGCTGAAACCTGATCGGAATCTGTAAACACGTAACACGGATGGAATAGTCAATAAGCGCTTGCTGGGACACTGATTAGCGAGAAATTCGAGACCCCCAAGGAATCCCCCCCCCTCCCTGGGGTACTCCAAGCCCTGTGCAAGGTGCCATGGGTGGAGCCCAGGTGAGCAGCAGGGAGAGGGACACGGCTCGGAGCACGCTCAGCTCTGCTCCCCAGTGCCTGCTGGGTGTTCTGAGGGCTCACACACCTCCTGAGGGACACGCGTGGCATTTCAGAGAATCCCAGACTGCTTTGGGTTGGAAGGGTCCCAAAGCTCAGCTCATTCTACCCCCTGCCATGGGCAGGGACACCTCCCACTAGCCCAGGTTGCTCCAAACCCCGTCCAACCTGGCCTTGGACACTTCCAGGGATGCAGGGGCAGCCACAGCTTCTCTGGGCAACCTGTGCCAGGGCCTCCCCACCCTGTTCTGATGGGGAGAAACACAGCGGTACTGACTCCCCCAAGGCTTTTTAAAACCTAACCCCCTTTTCCTCAGGTCTGTGAGCTCTCAGATGCTCTGTACCAGGGTTTGGTCACAGGTCTGAGTTGGGGTAAAGGGTCAGGTAAAGTCCTTCCCCCAAAGACCTGGCTGTGGGTCTCGTGAAATGCAACTCTGCAAAGAAAGTTTGAGTGCCATATCTTCAACAGCTATCAAAAAAAACCCAAAAAAACCAAACACCACACCTCCAGGTCACTACAGGCAAAATATCCCACTGAGATAAAAAACTAAACAGGAATAACAACTCTAAAAATAGCAATATTCAAGTTTACACTTTTGAACAACAGTATTTTCCACCCGTTTAGGCAGAACAAATTCCCACCCTATCCAGTGTCCGAATTTACAGTTCCTGGTGACCATTGATTCATGCAGCACTCCTCTTCCCTACTGCCTTCTCCTGGCCATTTCCTCGGAAAACAAATGTATTCTGCCCCGCTACAGCCCATCACTGGAACACACCACTCACAAAACATGCACTCAGTAGTTTCCTCTCTCCCTCTCTTTGCATGCACTCTCCTGACATGAGAAGGCTCTTTATGCATGAAAATATTCTTAACACCATATCCAAGCTGCTTTGCAAACAATGCTTTTTACATAACTGGGCCTTGTCTTTTTTTCCTTGTTATTCCTAATGACTGCCATGGTTGTAACTGGAAGGTACAATTTCATTCCTTTTCTGAAGAGACTGAAGGAGGCAGAGGGAGCTGATCCTTCCTCTCTGTTCAGTACCAGTGAGGCTACATCTGGAGAACTATTAGCTGTGGGCTCCCCTGTACAAGATGCAGGTTAATGGGAGTAAATCCAGTTCAGGACCAAAAAAATAAGGGAGGGACACGAGCATGTCTCATATGAGAAGAGGCAGAGAGAGCTGGGGCAAGAGGGAACAGCTGGCAAACCTCACCCAAGCCCTCACCCAGCCCTCTCTGGGGCTGGAAATGCCAATAACATGGAGTTTATCTCCTCCTCCTCACTGGACTGGAATGCTGATTATCTGCAGCTTGTGATGTGCGTTTCTCAGAGCTCCAACACATCCCTCCCCAAAGAGCTGGGGGAAAGGGATAAGTCAGCTTGCCTTGAGCAGCATCTGGATCAGCTCTGGACACGTGTGTGTGGGCAGAGATGATGCTGCACACTGGCTCAATTCATAAAGAAATGTGATTTAAATGACCTGAAAAGATGCTGGCCATAAACACGCCCTTGTTTGAAGGAGGAAGATTTGATGTGTCTGAAGGACAAATCCTTTCTCATTCCTGTTCCTTTCCAAATGCTGCCTGTGGCTGGCTCAGCTCTCCAGCTCAGCAGTGCTGGACCTGTGCCAGGTGTCACAGCAAGTGAGCTCAGCACCTGACCCAGCTGCAGCTTCCTTCACTGCCTGGTGCAGGGGACACCATCTGAGCCTTCCACACGGGCTGGCTTGGCTTCATCAGTCTTATCTTACAGGTCCTGACCAGTAGCTTTGACCATTCAAGTGCTGCGTTCTCACACCAGTCACTGCACTCCTGGAGCCAGTAGAGCTCACTGAGCTCTTTTTTTAAAGCTGAATAGAAGCAGCACAAAAAATATCCCCTTTTACTGGGAGTTGAAATTAAAGGTGTTTATCACATAGTCACGAAATGCAGTCAACTGACTGACAGTCGAGTGAAAAAATAAATTCAGTTTGGTTTTAGATCACACTTTAAAACCACTTTTTACCTAGGAGAGGTTTGAAAACACAAAAATTGGACTAATATTACATCAGGAAACCCCAAGATAAACAAAAGTTTAATTATGAAGAACAGAAAAAAAAGTGACTTCTGCTACTGCCAGGTGCCACCCTTCCTAGTGTGTGACCAAACCTAAGGCCTGACAGCACCAACCTGCCATGAGAGATGATTCCTCTTCACGACTCTTACATAAGCACGATAAATCCAAATTATTAATTGCATCCAGAATGTAAAACTGAGGGTTGTAAAGCACTGGAACACACTGCCCTCTGGGCAACAGCAGAATGGGTTAAGTACCAAGTGAATGCCCCAACAAGGATGGATTATTCAGCAAGGACCAAGTTAAACCTCTTTTCACAGACTCCCCAACCCACAGCAGTCAAACTCAAATACATAAGAGCTCCAGCTGTCCCTTTAGGACATGACAACATCTTCTTGCTGGGAAAGGATGGCAAGCCCACCTTCCCTCACACTGCAAGCAGTAGCCAGTCTTAAAGCCCCAATATGCTGCTGACCCTGGAAATAGGAGAGTCAGCTTGTCTTCTGTTCTACCTGTTTCTTCACAGAGCTTGGAAGATTTATTCTCTGCAATAATGAACACAAACACAGCCCTCACTGCTTTCTTGGCAGCTTTATTAAAGCATTGCATGATTAAGTTAAACCATTTCATGTCAAGATTTACACCAACCCTAAAATAAGTAGTTTTGCTATGCATGACTCTTTTACCAAGCTTGGGGGAAACATTCCCTAACCTGTAAACACAACTGCAGTTCAGAGCTCAGCGCTCACAGCCTCCGAACAGCAGAGGCTTGGTACCCCCAGGAGAGGGCTCTGTTTGGGGGTCTGGAAAAGCCAGGTCCTAATAGATTGATTTCCAGAAGGGTTGTCTGACAGCTTCCCAACTGGGCTGTCCAGCTGAGTCCTTCTCCCTGCTCCTTCCTGCCCAGCTGCGCTCTGGGCAGCAGTGACAGTGTGGCAACACCACGGCCCCTGGACCCGCTCGACATTCTTGCCTCCAAGATGTCCATTTCTAGTCACAGAAATCCAAATCCAGCCCAGGGTTTTTTTGGCCTCAGGATGATCCCGGAATTCTTTGTTAGACTAACTTTAACGTAGTTCCTAAGGCAAGCTCTAATGGGACATTCCAGGTACCCAAAAGCCAAGCAATGCCAGCTGGCACCTGGCTCTTCTCTGCGTCAAAAGAACCAGCCAAGTGAAAAACCAATGGCCAAGGCAAAGACAGTTTATTAGACCTTGTTAGATTATTGCACTGCCAGTCCCTCGAGTCCCCATGTGATTATTTTACAAGCTGAAACACCCAGGCACCAATAATTCTCCAAAAACAAATAGAGAGGCCTAGACTCAGCACGAGGAAGTGACTTATTTTCTTAAGCAGTTTTTAAAGGTACAGTCCATCTCTTGCAGGGATCTTTTCCCCTCCCTGTAGCTCAGAAGCTCAAGCTGCACTTACAAATATCTCTGCTCGAGACTTTTCAGGTTGCTTTACACATGGCAAGATTTTGCTCCTGCCACGGACAAGGAAATCAAGCTTTGAGGTTACAGGTGAAAAACACCGGTTAAAGACACAGCTGAAACTTTACTGAGCAAAAAAACTTCCAATGAGGAAAGGAAAAATCACAAATACTAGTCAGTGATTACCTGATTCAAAGGACAAAGGAACTTTGTTTGCCTGTGGAGAATATTCCAGAGCAAGAAACGTAAGGAGCTTATATTGGTCCCTTCTCACTGTGGAATGCCAGCAGAACAACCCTCACAAATGAGGCTGAAGCCCCTCTCACCATCGTTTCCAAATTACACACATGGCAAAGCAATGGGTAATTATTTAACTTACACTTCAGAAACAGAAAGTCCACCATGGCACCTACATCCAACTCCTTACCTCAGTGCACTGATTACAGAGCTGAGAGCTGTTTCCATCAAGTGTTTCATCATTCCAGCAATGCCATACTCATGGTGTACAGGCAGGTGGAAAAGCTGATGGATCACAGGAGAAGGAAATCGCAGCTCCCGGTGCTGTGGCCAAGTTCCCCAGGTTCCAACACTGCAGGAGGTGCAGTGCCTCTTCCAGGAGGGCATTCCTGGCCAAAGCAGGCAAAACCAAGCAGACTTCAATAAAACAGGCTAAACCCCTCCAAGGCACTGAGCAGTCTTGCAGCTCTGAGGCTCAGAGCAAGACACAAACCTGCCTTCCCGTCTGCACACTCCAGGCTTAATCAGAAATACCGAAGCAACTTCCAGGAGGTCACTGGATCACCCCAAAAGCCTGGAGCCCTTCAGCACAGAGACCAAGGGAGCCCAGTATCTGGCCATGGATGCCTCCAGCAGCATCCTGGAACAGCAGGCACAAGAAACCCATCCTCAGGCTCCTGTGCAGCACAGGAGGCAAACAAAGACGTCAAACGGCCACATC